GGTAGGCCTAGCGTCTTCTGGTTGCCTGTTAGGCACGGCGTAGGGGCCTCCTCAGCCATCTCGATTCTGGATTATTATCCATTTAGTCGTTTGCTTGTGCCTCTAAGGTCCTTTGAGGCTAGTCTTTTTTTTGTTATTTTTATTGTTTTGATATGTCTGTGTTTCTTGCTGAATTTGAGCTTCAATAAGCTCCTGCGTTCCTATTGGCCCCTCTAGTCTTGGCATTAGAGCCCAAGCTCTGTGAGAAAATTCTCACAGGCGTGAGAAAACGAAGGAAGGCCTCCTTCTTCTCCCTACTGCGCGCTAGCGCCTTAGCTGCAGGTGTTAAAAGTGCTGTTAGTCGATTCCTCGTGGTCGGTTCTCCTAGATAGCGTGCTTTCCTAGCGGTTTCCAGAAAACTCGAAGTTGGTGTGCAGGCAGGTGTCATAATTATATGCCCAAACAGGCATCGATATAGAAAATAAAGAAGCAATGCCCATGAGCATGGTGGTGGACTTCATTGTGGGTTAGGCGGGGTTGGAAAACAGATAACTAGCTGCAATTGTTGAGACAAAAACTTGATGGAGTTCTTCTGATGACAGCGCAGCTGTGATGATGTAGAGGACACCATCAAGGAGAGCCATCACAGAGCTTCTTATACTCGGGTATCGGCTGTTTGAAAATTGGGCATGCACAGTGAAGCCGTGCGAAAGTATTTTCTTACTTAACGGCATGAAGTTAACTGGTCAGATCCTATCTCATCGGAATTCTTCTGCCATGTTATTGGTGAATTTCTAAAGCTTACAGGTCCGTCTCTGCGAGGCACCACTAGGCAAAAACATAGCCAATATGTATTGCAGTCAAGAAACAACATGATCATGACAATCTCCCCACGTGGATGCTCATAGGAAGTGCCAATGCGACAAACGATAACGTATTTTGAGTGAACTCCGTGGAACAAACTCTGATTAGATGTAGAATAAACTCTAATTAGACGTGCCGTGTCCGTATACAGCAACAGGTCAAATAAGGGCCTATGCGGCTGAAAAAGCCATTCTTTAACTTTGTATATGAATCAAAAAAAGTTTAACTTGTCATTGTGACCTGAGTGAAATTTGCTTCATGTCACCGAGTAATATCGTACCTATAATTCGCACCGCTGAAATAGTAATAGTTCAGAATCTGGAAAACTCTATCAAGCTCTACCCAGGTTTGATGGGTAATAGCATCTCTAGCTAGAACGGTCTTTTTTGATGTTGATGAGGCATTCTTAGTTAGTCTTCTCCGGAGTTGACCTAAAGCCTGTGACAAAGTGAATACCTTCGAAAAGCTCCTCCAAATTATATTAGTGTCTCACAGAATGCAGGTGCTAGGACATGTCATCAGAGCAAGGGTGGATGAGGTAGATCAATCAACATTATTGATAATGATGTTCCAGTCAATCTCGGAGAGGAGTCCGCTTATCTACATCATCACATGACCACCAGGCGACATGTATTACAGCGATTCTACCAACTTAGCCAAATTACGCTTACAAGATACATCGAAAACGTGCTGGCATGTTGTTCGACCATGGGAGACTGGCGTTACCGTGGCACTAACCGAGTTTAGTCACCACGTTTATGTGGCACAATACAACAACCCAAGAAAATAGCAACAAGAAATGGTGGGAAGGAGTAAAATACAATGATAGCCCGGTATCTGGCCTCATTCCATGTCCCTTCACCAAGAAGCTATGCCTCTTCAGGCAAGGCCACAACAAGGTTGAGAATAACTTTAGTATGTATTCAAACTAGGTTTGAAAAAAAAGCTAAGACCTACAGCTTAAGCGCTGTAACTCTAATTCTCACCTTAGCCTAATACCAGGCATAATAGATAATGCGGCAGTGGCGGCATTGTATTCATGCCAAGGTCCAGACGTACGTACTAATATCTCTACTAGTCGACCTCCCTCCTTCCATCCGCACCCACATGACCAACGTACCAACCCGACACTTGCCCAAACCCACTCCCACCAGCCCAAAACCGACTTTCCATAACCCCACAATCCCTCCTAGTACTCCAGCACCCTCAGCCCGACGACATCAGGCGCAAACCCATCGCCATACCCCCTGACTTCAACTGAATTCGCATCTCCCTTCTCAAACCCATCAACCTCAATCCCCAAACTCAAACTCTCTTCCCAGTCGCCGCCAGAAAGCGGAACAGCCCATCTCTTTGCTTTCCCGCCGTTCACAGCAACAGTCATGTTGCGCGTGTTATCGCCCCAGCCCCAAGATGTTGAAAACGCGTATTCGTAGTTGATCAAATCGATGCTAAGCCGTTTTTTGCCTGTGGTGGTGGAACTGATGTTGTGGAAGGTTACGCCCGCGCCGCGGGTTATATACCCGACTTTGGAGCCGGCGGGCAGACACGTACCCGGGGAGCAGGTGATGGCGGTTGCTTGGCCGGAGAGCGAGGCGGCGGCTGCGGCGTGGTAGGGGGTATCTGGGAGAGGCGCAGTGGAAGTGATGTTTGAGAGGACCCAGAGACGCAGCTCGTGGCCTGCTAGGGTGACATTCTGGGTGCCGGAGACAGTGCCTAGGTCTTTTGCGGCCCATACGTCGCGGGCGTGCGCAGATGCAATGCCTAGGGCTTTCATATCCACCTGGACGCTCTGCGAGTCATTTCTCCAGTTTGCAATGCCGACGACTTGCTTTGCGCCGGAGAGCTCGCCGGCCCAGATGTCCCATTCGCCCTCTGTGTCGCGCTGCATGAGCTTTGCTTGCTTGGCCAGCGGGTCTTGGTTGATTGCAATGACTTCTTTGTTGGTCATGATGTCGATTGAGGATTTGCTGAGACGCTGCGGGTCAAGTGCTGCGCCCATGATGAGAGGCGATTTGTTGATGGCCCACATGCCAAAGTGAAAGCGCTCTTCTTCTTCGGATAGCGCGTGCAGACCGACACTGTACTGGTTAACTAATGGCTGGAGAGAGATTGAAAAGAGACTTACATGAGCATGTCCATGTCGGCAAAAGCACCGACAGTGGTATGGCGAAAGTACGGAACGATCTGGTTTGTAATGCGCCAGATGCTGCGCCAGGCTCTGTAAATATCATTGCTGATTCTCCAAGTGTTGCCGACACCAGCAGCCCATTCTCCAACGTCAGTCCCGATACCCCATTGGCAAACGAAATACTGGATGTCGCGGTCGACAGCATCCAGCCCATCAGCCATGTCTTGGAAACGAGCGGGCGACTGAGCCTCGGCAGAGCTCGAGTCCACCATGGTCGTGTTGGACGTAGAATAGCAGTTGTCGTACCTATTTCTGTTAGCCATTTCTCCAAGCAATGCTCAACAGCTTTCCATACTTCAAACTGTCGCCGCCCCATTCAGCAAAAGTCTGTGCATCCAGCTGCTCAAACCCCAGACTCGCAGGCAGCGACTCATCTCCACACTGCAGGTAGCCCGCGCCGGAATAAAGTCCAAATTCCAGCCCAAGCCCATGCAAAAAGTCTCCAAGTGCCTTGCCTCCAGAGGGGAACAGCGTCTCGTTCCATTGCAGTCTCCCCTCAGCATCCCGCTCATGAGTATTCCACCCACAATCCACAGTGACAAAGCTGTACCCAACATCCGCGAATCCCAGGTCCACGAGTCCCCGCGCGCTTTGATGGATTTTTTCTTCAGTTGGAAGGCAGTTCCACGTATTATACGAGTTCCAGCCCATAGGCGGCGTCGGGGAGCGCGCACGTCGTGCCGCCGCCTGGAGCGCAAATAGTAGCGGCGCCACTAGCAAAAGCGAAGGTACCATCATGATAGCTCTGTAGTACGCGTTTGCATCTTGTTCATTTCTCCACGCAATCTTCCCGCTCATAAATCCTCTCTCGATGCCAGCATAATAGCCGGTGGTCGGGTCCCCCGCCGCAGCGGTTATAACATAACTGTGTGCAGCGTCATGGGCTCGGGCGACGGGGGAATGCCTCGCGATGCGTCGAGTCGAGTCCCACCTCTTGGGTTGCATTGCCGAGCATATTTGCACCGAGTTCGAGTAGCGATCATCAGTGGTATGAGGTGTGCGTGCAGCTGCATGCAGGCCGACCGGGCAGTGGGGAAGAGGGCAATCCAGAGTTTTCCCGGGATGAACGGGGGTGGGGGAGTCGTATGAGGATATCAAAGGGAGGTTTAGCTTTGTTGTAGTTAAGGTTATAGGAAACACTAAAATTCCACCAACCTAAAGTGGGCATCTAGCATGACGTACTTACATAGTGAAGTTACACTATGGCTAGGCTAGGCAACAACTCATATATATATATAGACCTTTGTCCTAATACCTCACCGCACATATACTTTCTCTCCCCTCCCCGCATTTAAACTTTGCAAAAACAAACTCCCGCATACTGGTTCTACCGCAAACCCAGTTTCCTGCGAAGCTTGGATCTCCAACATCCCGGTTTCCCCGGTTAATCGACTTGGGATAATAATAATAATATGACCAGCGGGGAAGGAAGAATAACCTTACACCCTGCAGCCCTAGCTAGCCCTACTTAGCTACCCCGCGCCCGAACAACAACATGCGCTTACTTAGCTACTTAGAGTAATGTAGGCGTCGCAGACGTCATATTGGTAGTAGGAGGTAGAATAGAACAAGCGGTTGCGGGAAATCGGGGGAGAGGGGGGGTGTATGATAGACAGTGGTAGAGTGGAAGATTGAGAGCATGTACTTGAAGAAAAAGGATAATGATATCAAATAAGTAGAGCTTTTTTCATTGCTACTCTTTGCTGTCTCACCAGGAATCTACGTACATACAAACACCACAATCATAGTCGTGTTGTGTCACTCGTACTCCTATATACATACACTATGCACAGCAAAGCTCCGCGTTCCCCGCTACCAAACCATACTCAAATGTACAGCGGAAACCTAATTACTCGCCGGTGGCTGCGGCCACTTATCCAGGACCGTCTGCTCCCCGGTGATTGTAAGCTTGACCTCTGCCTGCGTCGGCTCATCCAGCAACAGCGTGTACTCGCCGGGATACACGACCGTATTTCCCTGCTCATCGACTCTGGCAAGAGTGCCCAGTGTAAGCGGGAGAGACGCCATTTTCGTTTGGCCGCTGCTGATATCCTTGAGGCGCGTGTACGACACCAGTGTCTTGAGGGGGTATGGCGCGGGTCCGACGTCGCCCTTGATGAAAGCCAAGGCGACAAAGTCCGAGGTGGTATTGCCCTTGTTTGTGACGGCGACTTGCACGGGCGCAACGGCACACAGATCGAGATATTGCTCAGTGCACGCGCCCGTGATGGCCTTGATGTCGTAGGTCAATGCCGTTTCACTCGCAAACTTGGCTTCAAATGTCGTGTAGTGAAGGCCAAAACCAAATGGCTGCACTGACTCGTTGTACCAGCGGTATGTGCGTCCGGGACTCGAGTCGTGGGGCCGCAGCTTCATGTCCAGCATGGACAGGTTGATGTAGTCGGCTGGGTACTGGGTAATTGGTAGGCGGCCCGCGACGGCGTGTGCGCCAGATACCACTTGCATGACGGCTTCGCCACCGTCCTGGCCGGGCCAGTTAGCCCAGATGACTGAGTTGACGCCGTCCATGGAGAGCAGAGGCGAGTTGTCGACCATGTCGCCGAGGACCAGGACGACCAGGGGCTTGCCGAGCTTGGATAGCTTGGTGATGAGGTCGATTTGTGCGGTTGGCCAGCTAATTTGCGTGCGGTCGAAGCCTTCGGCTGCGGCCGAGGTGTCGAGCCCGCCAAAGTACAGAATGTAGTCTCCCTTGCTTGCTGCTTCGAGCGCATTCGTCGTCCAGTTGTCTGAAGCGCTGGAGTTTTGAAGAATAGGGCCAGTGGCGATGGACATGTCGAGTCCCATTTTGTTGCCAGCCCACACGGGAGTGTGGAGGTAGGGCGCAGGACCGCTGTAGATGCCGGAGAGCTTGGAGGTGTTGTTAGCCCAGAAGCCGATCATGGCGACTTTGGAGCCCTGTTTCAATGACAGTGGAAGCGTCTTCTTGTCGTTTTTCAACATGACAAGGCCCTCGGCGGCAACACGCAGTGACAGCTGCTGCGCTTCGGGCGTGTTGATGTCCTTGGGACTTAGGCCGGCGTAGGTGGCTGCTGCACCGTCAAAGTAGCCTGCGTGGACAAGACCTTCGTACTGCCGTGTGAGTGCTCTGTCTACAACTGAGACGTTGAGAAGGCCCTGCTTCCAGGCTCCGGAGATATCGGAAGATCCAGAGTATTCGCAGCTGAGGTCCATGCCCTTGCTAAAAGCGAGTGCCGTTGCTTCGGCAAGCGTCTTGACATACTTGTGGTTTTGAGAAATGTCTGCCACAGCCTCACAGTCACTAGTAATGTAGTTGTTGCTGTCAGTCCAGTTCCAGTGCTCTCTCAGGATTGTATCGAGAACGTAGGTATCGGCGCAGGTGGGGATGCCATTGACGGCATTGTAGCTGCACATGAAGGATCCGACCTTTGAATCGCGTGCACATTGCTGAAAGGGCGGCATGTAGTACTCTGCTAGATCCTGCATGGTGATCTGGGCATCAAAGTGATGACGATCGGTGCCGCCCCATGCCTCCATGTCGTAGCCGACATAGTGCTTGCACGTGGCGATGATCTTCCTCTGGGCCTTGTCGCCCTCAAGGCCAGCAAGTAGGGCCTTGGTGTAGCCCTTGATACGCAAAATGTCCTCGCCCGGTGTCTCGGAGCCACGACCCCATCTCGGGTCACGAAAGGGGTTGATGTCGGGGGTCCAATAATCAACGGGAGCGACACCGCCGTTTCCAAATGCACGAGCCTCGTTGCCGATAATGGTTGCGATTTGGAAAATGAGATCGTCATCAAAGGCCGCTGACATGAGCAGCGGCATGGGAAACGAGGTTGCGGTACGGTAGGCCCCGGTAAAGTTAATTCCTGGTGCGCCAGCCACGCCGTGTAGAGCCTCACCCCACCAATTGTATGCTGGGAGACCTAGACGCGGCACACCCTTGGATTTACTTTGCATGTCAGCGGATTGTTGCAGTGAAAATCAAGCAGCACGCGTACCTGACGAGATTGTCGAGTTTCTCCTGGGGCTCCATGGCGGCAACGAGGGCCGCAGCCCTCTTGGAAGGAGAAGCATTGACGTTGCAAATGGTGTTGTTCTTCAGCGGTCCAGAGGTGCAATCAGGGCCGATTGCATAAGCCGTTGAGACGAACGAGGCCCCAAGGAGCACGGCAGTTGAGAGAGAAGGCATCGTGGCGGATGTCGTCACTTGCCCGCAGCTCAAGGCCACTCGAGCGCGAAGTCAAGGCCATATATATAAGTTTTCCCTGACTGCGGGAAGCAATCTCTACACAGTGTTTAATAGGCAATTTAGCAACAGGAGTGGAGCCATGCCATGGACGACTAAGCTCTGTTTTGCCTTTTACCGTCGACAAGGTCCAACATTACCCCGTTACCCCGCGCACACGGGCGCTATGTTTGCGCAAAGGAGCTGAGTGATCGTCTGGGGAAATAGACGATATTCAGCCACCGGGTTCAACAAAACAAGACGCGCACGTGAGATGATGATGAATACCATGTAATATGCCGTGTTTGCTTGACACGATGCTTTTCCATTGTGCGCTATGCTTTTGATGCCCATCATCGGCAGAAACTCTGAGACAAGCAGCCGCCTCCGCCTCGTATACAGATTTGAAAACAATGCTGGCTTATTCTTCCTTGCTAGGCTTTGGTTTGGGTGGGAAAATCCTACTGCTCAAGTCGAAGACGGGCAATGGACATGGGATAGCAGCCATCTCACAGACAGTAACCAGGACGAGGTACCAGCCCACTACGGCACTCATCAAGCCAAATGCACCGCCGGCCTTCAGTAACGTCTTGACGTATGCCATGTCGGTCGCGGTTCCATGAGCAGCAATATTGAAGTTTGCCGCGGCCACGAAGGCGAAGAGTATCGTGACGCCCAAGAACAACAAGATGAAACACGCGTTTACACGGAAGGTGCCGAGAAGAAACATGAAACTGACAAGTACCCTGTGTGATGATTGTTAGAGACTAAGTCGGGTACCAGTGCTCAATGTGACTCGGGCTGATGTGCTTACATGGAAACGTTGTAGAACCCTTGAGACGTATTGTAAGCTGCACCCGTCGCTCCTCCCAAATCTTGAAAAGCCAATAGAGTCTCCGAGGTTGGGGCTTGTCCATAGGCCAAGGCAATGTAATGAGCTCCGTATACGATGAATATAGTCATGGGGAAGGCTGGATAAGTGTCAGTGCTGCGAGACGGGAGAGAGGTGCGTGTGGCAGAAGCGTACAGTTACCCAGGATGAACTCTGCAATGCCAGCAAGACCCAGGACCATGCCCCGAAGGAGTAGAAAGAACCCGTAAGACCAACCAGACTCTGAGGAGGCAACGCGCCTCGAAAGCCACAGAGGATGCAGCAGGTGGCGGTGTAGGGCACGAGAAAACCAAAGAGTCCGAGCAAGGTTGGGTTGGCTTGCGGTTGTGTTAGTCTTCATGTCTGACAAGTAGTAGACATGGTGGCGCCAACGTACAGAATCTCTTTGCAAAGTCGCCGTTGCGAGGAGCTGAGGGCTGGAAGAAGAGGCGCTCATACTGCTCCGGAGTCAAGTTGACGGTGAGCTGACGGCTCAAGGGCGTCTCGTCTCGTCCGGGATTCGATCCCATTTCGATCTTTTCGTGCTCCATTGCAGACGTGTCAGACATGAATTATATACAATAGGGCGAGCTTCTATTCCAAAGAAGTGCGCAAAGAAGTAAAGGATGTTTTGGGCTGGGTCGAGGGAGAGACGCAAACAGACGGCGGTAGTTATATTGCTGGAGCGTGTAGACAGTTACCGGCGTTACCCACGGCACGCCCTGGGATAGCGTCGATGCACCGCCGTGCCCCCTGGCTAGAAACCACGCACACTTGACAATTCCGTAGCATGCTCCGTAGACTTCCCCGCATCAAGGAGATGGGTTTGCTGGTAGTTTGGATCCGACGGCATCCGGGGCGGCAGTTGAGCTATGGTAGTGGAAGGGCCAGGTCCAGCTAGCTTGAGTGTGGCGAGTGGTATCCAGACCTACCGTCTCTGAGGATCAGTGTTCAAGTTGTCACTGAGTCCGGGCCGATGCCACTTGTCAGGAGTTACCAAGACGGCTCGTTCTTTGCACGCTTTGGCTGCCATGCACTCACCACTAGCCATGGAATTAACCGTTTTATGTGATTGACAAGCCTGCTAATGCTCCACCGTGAAGGCTTATCCTCTTAGACCGTATTGAGTGTTAGGTGCGCCGGCGCGTGTTTCTAGTCTTGAAGCACGTACTACTCCGAAGCGTTGTTCGCGGGGAGATGTTCACGTGGCCTGGGGACCCCTGTAAGGAGGGGTGAAAGGGGAAAGTGCGGCTCCACGCATAGGGCCGGCGAGGATTTTTTCAAGGGTGAGATGGGCAGGCTGTGGGCAAAGGCTGGCCGTCGTCTAGTGCTTGGAAGTGCCCTATGGCGACAAGCACTGAAGCAGAGTGGGCGGTCGTCTGGCTTGGAGGCTTGTACGGATGCCGGATGACGGTTGGATGCGTTTTTGCCGTGCCTATCATGGGGAACGTATTCCAACTACGGGGCTGACTGTGGGGGAGCTACAAGCCGCAATGTGTGGAGAAGAAAGCGGCTCCGTGGGCGCTAGGCAGGTCGAGACTGCGAGGTCGAGTAAGTTTGGGGAGAGATTTCGTGCAGCGGCACGAGTCTGACGTGTGGTGTGTTGAGTGGACGGGAGCCTGGTAGGCGGTGCTATTGGTTGGGGGATGGGTGGTGAGGTGAGGCAAGGGGGGAGGTGAGGGTGAAGGAGAGAGACGTTGCTTTTGGCAGGAGAGGCAGGAGAGGCAGGAGAGGCAGATGACGGCTGCCGCATCTGGCTGCCTTCCTTCATCATCGCCATCAACACCCTCAACACCATCGCCATCACCACCATCACCACCCACAACCACAACCACAACCACAACCACGGACGCTCGATCCACCGCGTCGCAGTGCATATACGATAATTCACTCGCCATTCACCGCCCGCCCGCGACGAAACGGGACAAGTAGCAGATAGAGACTACATTGCCCGTGCATGGATCAGCATCGCCTTTCTGCAGGCGCCCACATGGAGACGGACCCCCCGGCTAGTCATGGCTCCTCCCGCGACAAAGCTCTCTCGGAACTTGTGCCAGCCGGAACTCCGCAGCCAAAAAAACTGCCCGCACCCTCTACGCCCACGTCGTCGGTTCGGCGCAGAATGGCTTCCAGCGCCCCCTCACCCGCTTCTTCCAAAGATGGCCCTGTCGCCCGCCGCCTGCCTGCGACGAGCGCCTCAGCTGTGGGCGGTGCTGCCCGCCGCCCCGCCGCGCCATCCGCATTTACAACAACAACAACAACAACAGGAACATCCTCACTATCGACACCGCGCGCCGCCACCAGCGCGTCCAAGGCGCCTACGACAGCCGCCTCGCGCACCAGTGCTGTCGGCTCCAGCCTGAACAAGCCGCCCACCCGCCCTGCGGCAGGCTCCGCTACGCGCAGGGCCGTCTCGTCGTCCAAGACGGCCTCAGATATCGAGCACGATGTGTCGTCTGTGACCTCTGGCGAAGAGAGCAAGAAGAAGCCCGCTGTGCGCCGCCCGCCCGTCGCGTCAGGAACCGCCGCCCGCTCGTCGCCAGCAAAGCCCGCCTCGCGCCCGTCACTGGCCTCGTCGACAGCGACTGCGACAGCGACCGCGACAGCGACTGGCACCGCCGCCACAGCAAAGCGACCCGTGGCAACGCGACCCGCTGCTGACTCTGCCACCACCAGAGCCCCCCGTGCCTCATTGGCCCCGCCCACCAAGTCAGCGACTACGCGCCCGGCTGCTGGTGCTGCTACACGCGCATCCGTCGCTGCGCCCCGCGCATCAGCGACTGCACCCGCAAAGAAGCCATCTGTCTCTGCCCCTTCCCCGCCAGTAATATCAGAGCCCGAGGAAACAGCCCGGCAAGTGTACGCCCCCTCGAAACACCTTCTCGTGCTACTGTTTGTGCTAACCTGTCTGCAGAGACAGTCCCATCGCCTCTGCCCACAGTCGCGATGCTTCCCTCAAGGAAAAGGCCGCCTCCGATGCCGAGGCGGAGAATCGCAAGACTACCCTCGGGCCTGTCAAAGCTGCTCTGGCCAAATTCGGCAACGTCTCGCCACGCCCCGACACCGCTCCGACAGGCTCGGACGAGGTCGAGGAGGAGACGAAGAGGCGGAGCGCCCAGATCATGCAGGACTTTTTCAAGGAGACAAACCTTCGCGACAAGCTGCAGGAGCAGTGCGACGATCTCAATCGCGAGGTTGAGAACCTGCACTCGGAGAGAGCAAAACTGCGCAGCCAGCTGGCCGATGCCCAGGCCGCTATTGCCGAAAAGGACAAGGCCCTTGCAGACGCCTCGGATGCCGCTCCATCGTCCGACCAGCGCGCGCTCGACACAGTTGTGCAAGATATGGAGATCAAGTTTGCCAACGAGACCAAGAAACTTGAGGAACAGAGCCAGCTGCTCGAGCAGGAGAAGAAGGCGGCCCAGGAGAGAGAGGCCACCGAGACTGCCAAGGCCATGGAGCTGCAGCAGGTCCTGGACGACCTGAATGCCGAGCTTGAGCAGCAAGGTCAGCAATGGGACAATGAAAAGAAGAAGATGGCAGAGCAAGCCACCCAGATCGAAGAGCTGACTCGCGAAGTGGCCTCGCTGAAAGAGGAGCGCGACAAGCTCTCGCAGGAGCTTGACATTGCCAAGAAGACGCTGGAAAACCTCGAGGCCAAGTATGCCGAGCTTGAGCAAAGTCAGGTCGAAAGTCTTCGTCTGCGCGATGCTAAGATCAACGAGCTGACCAAGACTGTCGACGAGTTTGTGGCAGAGGTGGCAACCAAGGAAGACCAGCACAAGACGGCTTTGCACGAAGCACAGCAATCCCTCGAGTCGAGGGCTGCTGAGCATCTGGCCGTCGTTGAGCAGCTCCAGGCCGACATCCAAACCGTACAGCAGCAGCATACGGACGAGCTGCGCGCCAAGGACGAGATGATTGCGACCCATGTCGAATCCCAGAAACAGCTGCAAGACGACCTCACCAAGCTCCAGCAGCGTGCTGAGCAGTCCTCGGCAGATCTCGAGAGCGAACGCAGTGCTCATGCCGAACAGCTGCAGGCGAAGCTGGACGAACTTAAGAAGAACACGAGCGAAGCGCTTCATGCAAAGGAGGAGGAACTTTCAGGGCACGCCAAGTCCATTGGCGATCTTCAGGAGCAGATTGTGGCGCTACAACAAGGCTCAACTGACGGCAAGAGGGTGGCTGAGGAGCTCAACAAGCAGATGCACGAGTTGAAAGACTCACATGAAGCTGCTCTCAAGATCAAGAGCGACGAAAACGACCAACTTGTCCAACAGATGGAGGCGCTGAAGCAGCAGCTTACCACTGACGCTGCCGAGATGGAGCAACTCAAGCAAGAAGCTGCTGGCTTGCGCAGCACCATCGACACACTCGAAAAACTCTCAGAGCAACTCGAGTCGCAACATGCTTCCGACATGGCCAAGATTCAAGCTGAACTGAGCGATGCGAACAGTAAAGCAAGTGCTTACAAGTCTGAGATTGATGCTCTACAAAACAGGCACAAACAAGAACTGCGTGTCATCGGGGAGGATTACGAACGTGAGATTGAATCGCTGCGGGCGGATCTCGAGGGAGACGCAACCAGGCGACTGAACAGTCTGCAGGCTGATTATGACTCTCTTGTTGCCGAGAAGACTGCAACTCTCGAGCAGCATGAAAAGATTCTTTCCGATCAGTCCAGCCAGATTGAGACACTCAAGCAAGAGCTCAGCGAGCTCCAAGACAAGTCGGCATCGGCCACCCGAAACTCTGACGATACTAGTACCAAGCTCAAGCATACTGAAGATGAGCTGGTAGCCGTAAAGGAGGCCCACAACATCTCGCAGACCTTGGTGATAGATCTTCAAGAACGCATCGATGCAATGACCAAGGATCTCACCACCAATGGGGAGGTCAAGGCCCAACTGGACACGCTGGAGCAGGAGAAGGGTGCTCTGGCCGAAGCCCACGCAAAGTCGCAGTCTCTGATCGTCGACCTGCAGGCCCGCCATGATTCTCTATTGGAACAAAAGACTCTTGCAGAGGATGCCCACGCTCGCGCTATCGAGGCCCTCAAGGAGGACTCTGAGAGCCAGTCGAAGCAGCTACTCACAGAGTTGCAATCAAAATACGACCTTCTTCTTGAGGAGAAAAAGGCCGCAGAGGATGAGCACCACCAGGCTTTGGAAGCCCTGAAGCGGGACTCTGAAGGCAACACGAGCCAGGCACTCGGCGAACTTCAATCCAAGTATGACTCGCTAGCAGAGGAGAAGGAGGCCATGCAGACCGCCCACCTCCAGACACTGAAAGCGCTGGAAGAGCAGTCTGAGCACTCGACCAAGACAGCACTGGCAGAGCTCCAGTCCAAGTATGACATGCTGTTGGAAGAGAAGGCTACTGCAGAGCGTGAGCACAGTGATGCTGTGGCGAAGCTCCAAGAAGAAGCCAACACCACATCCAAAGAGCAACTTGAGGAGCTACAAGCCAAGTACAATGAACTGCAACAAGACATGAAGAGCACTTCTGAGGCGTTGGCCACTCTGCAAACGAAATACGACCAGATCACTCAAGAGACAAGTAGCACTGAAGAATCTAAAAAGGCCGATATTGAGAAGCTCGAGAGGGAACGAGACGCCTTGGCAGCAAAGCTTGCGGAACTCGGAAAGACTCATGCAGACATTGTTGCCGCGCACTCAGCGACCGAGGAAAGCCATGCCAAGGCACTTGAGACTCAGCATGCCGAAATTGAGCAAAAGTACGCAACTCTGCTGGAATTCATGCAAAACGACACGGAACGGCTGGAGCAAGAAAAGTCGGCAGCGGTTTCTGGCAAGCAGTCTGCGCTGAATGAGCTTGCGGCTCTGAAGAAAGAATTCCATGCCGAAATTGACGAACTAAAGAGCCAACTTTCGTCCAAGGGCCAGTCTGGTCCTGAATTAGCCGACATGGAGCGCCGGTACGAAACTCTTTTGGCAGAAAAGGCTGCTGCCGACAAGGAGCATGAAGACGCCATTCAATTGCTCAAAGACTCTCTCAAGGCAGACCATGAACAGGCCCTGTCGAAGCTGCAATCTGAGTGTGAAACGCTGCAGCAAAAGATGGCACAGGTTGATCAAGAGCATAGCGATGCCCTGGAATTATTGAAAGAAGAATTCAAGGCAGGACACTCGAGCGACATGGAGGCTCTACGGCAGCAACTTGAAGCTATGCAGAAGCAGCATTTGGATCTCACAGAACAAAGAGCATCCATGGACCAGGCGCATGAGGAGGCCATTGCCGAGCTCATGGCAGGCATGGAGGCCAGCACCTCTGAAGCACTATCACAACTGCGCAAGAAGTACGATGCACTCACCTCTGAGCTGCAGCAAATACAGTCGGCCCATTCTGCTGAGCTCGAAGAGGCGAAGCGAAAAGCGTCCGAGGACCGAGACATGTACTGGAACTCGCAAATCCAAGACACCAAAGCCAGTCTCAACGCACAGGCTTCAGGCGTAACAGCTCTGGAGCAGAGGGTACGCGCACTCGAACTTGAGCGCGATGAGGCCATCAGGGCTGTCGAGGAAGCCGAAGACCGTATCGAGACGATGAAAGGCGAGGTTGTACGGAAGCACTTGGCCCGCGTAGAACCGCTAGAGAAGGAGAACTCACAGCTCCACGACAAGGTTGAACGCCTCGAAGCCATTCTTGCCGCTGGCGACAGGATTGCTCGTGCTGCTGCGACCTTGGGCGAGAAGCGTGACATTAACACTTTAGCGGAAGAGGAAGAAGAGGAAGACAACGACAGCGGGGCTGCACTCAGCACTCAACCACCCAAGGTGAACGGCACTGGTCCTGCGCAAGACGTTGTCGGTACTGTGAGTTGAACCCAAATCCCGTACGTCAATGATCTGCTTTGTCAAAGCGCCCCAAAAAACTCGGACCGCTAATACAATTCCAGCAGTTGGCAGCCATGCAAGAGACGTTGAACCAGCTGACTGAGCTGAATAACGATGCCATTGTCGAGAGCACCAGGACGGCCGAACGACTGACTGCAGACTCCGAGTAGCCTCTTTCTTCCTTCTCTTTTCTTCACCTTAGCGCAAGGTGTGTGCATGCTGCCAAACGAAGATGCGGACTGATCAAATGTACGAAGGACTATGAAGCGTTGTAATAATTTTTCTTCTTTTCTTCTTCTTCTTCTTCTTCTTCTTCTTCTTCTTCGGTTTATCCCTCCTGTTCCTTAGGTGGCATTATACCCTCCCCCAGTCTATCGTGTACGTGCCGTCGTTATAGTCGGCAGCCTTTTTTGTATTGTCGGCACTTTATCGTGTCTGTAGTCTCGGGCACACCTTTGTTTGTTGTGCGCATACATACTTATTCTTTTCTGCACGTTCTGCAGCTTGCAAATTTAAACACTGGTTTTGTTTTCTGTGTGCAAACTGTTGATGTTTGTGCGTGTGCGTGATGTCAATGTATCTACTAACCAGCTAATCTATTATCCTTTGTTCTTTTCCGTTTCAACAAGAGCGTATTTGTACATAGTGTGTTGGTGTAGCCAAAAACTCAGGTGCCTAAGTCCCACACTGAGCTGAACTAGACTGTCTACTTGTCCACTTATACATAAACACTGTTTCTCACACGCGTTGCACCCCAAGTACATGCACCCCTCCATCTGATTAGTCAGTTCATAGGAGTACAGTCGTAAGTACCAGAGACAACGATGAACGACACTCCCTCAACCAACCACGGAAACAAAACAAAACAGGAGAGAAAAATCAAAAGTTATCAACTACAGGAAAGAAGCAAGATACAAAAGGACACAGTCACTAGTATGGAAATTTATGTATATACATCAAATGGAATTCCCCCCTTATCCCTACCCTTTTTCTTTCTTCTATCCATCCCTTGCCACTATTAACAGCTCAAGTTGTATTTAAGCAAGACACTGCGAGTAATAGTCGTTCTGCTTGACGCACTTCCAGCCGTCGGAACATGTCGTGGGGCCCGTGTGCCCGATGCCGCCGCAGCGCTCGTATCTGCCTGCTAGGCTGGGCTGGGCGGGTGCGGGAGTGGGTGCTGGGATGAGGACGCAGGCAGCAGGGGCGGAGGCGATGGGAGAGGAGGCAACCGGCGACTCAACAGGCACATCTGGCTTCGTGCCGCCCTCCGCCTTCAGGATCCTCGCGGCCGCCGCCTCGGCCGCAACCATGATAATCGCCTGCGTGTTTCCCGTCGGCAGATCCGGGTGAATCGACGCGTCAACGACATACAAGTTATCTGTGCCATACACCTTGGTATTCGTATCAACAACGACGCCAGCATCGCCTTTCTTGCCCATCTTCGCGGTGCCGACGTAGTGGCTGCCGGACTTGAACGATTTGATGAGATCGGCGCCCGTGACGTTGGAGGAGCTGGAGGAAGTGATGAGAGAAAGGGTCGAGTTGCTGGCGCTGGCCATGCGGATCAGGCGGTTCATCATCAGGGTTGCGGCTTCGGTGTCGACTTTGGATGTCATGTGCGGCTTCGTGATGAAGGTGGTTGCGCCGTCGGCTGTGATGCCCAGGCTGCCGACGGACTGGGAGCCGTGGGTCAGGTACACCTTCATCTGGATGGTGTTGTCAGAGGGCGCGTTGCAGGTGCCCTGGAAGAACATTTCGCTGCCGTCGCTCGTCTTGACCGAGGACCACCAGTTGAGGCGCTGGCCCGACTCAGCCAGTATGCCGGCGCCCTTGGCAAACATGTCGATGGTGGTTTGGTTGGGTGAAATCAGGGCTTTCTTGTCGGTTCCGGGGAGGGGGGTGCTCGTGTTGAACTTGACGGTGAAGATGGGGTGGTCTTTGATCTCGGCTCCGACGGGGAGGTCGATCCAGTCGGCTTCTTCAGGCAGCTGGACGCCCGTGGTGCCGCTGGCTACCGTCTTGAGCTGCTCGGCGGGTCCAATGCCAGAGTTGAACAGGATGCGGGGAGTCGACATGGCGCCGGCTGAGAGAATCACCTTACCGCCAGTCTTGACATTGTAGATGACACGCTTGCCCTCGGCCGTCTCAACTTCAACACCAGAAACGGCAGAGCCCTTGCGAACAGCTCGCACAACCTTGGTGTTCATCGTCAGCTTGAAGTTGGTGAGCTTCTGGGCCAGAGGAAGGTAGGTCCTGACACTGCCGGAACGGAGACCGTTGGCAATGTTCCAGGTGGGGTGGCCGTAGACATCGACCTTGGCGTTGGGGTTCTTGACAAAGTCTGTCTGCTTCCATCCCTGGGCGGCGAAGAACTTGGACAGAACGTTGTAGGCACCGTCGTCGTGGCGGACGTCGTCCTCTGAGCCATATGTCTGTCCGGGGTTGCGCTCGTACAGACGGTCAGCCGCCGCCGAGACGTCAGCCCACTTCCAGCCAGTGGGCCACTTGTCGTCAAAGTCGCGCTCCTGGGGCCTGACAAACATCATGGCGTTGACGGAAGTGCCACCGCCGAGGAGGCAGCCTGCCATGTCGGCCGTGTCGGCGCAGTAATCAGGGCTGCCGACGTCACTGAGGTAGTAGCCGTATCCAGGAACGTCATACATGGTGACGGTGTTGTTCCAAGGCAGTGTCTTGGTGTTGCCAGTGAACGCGAGAGAAGGACCGCCGCGCTCAATCAACAGGACGGAAGCGCCGCTCTCAGCAAACCTCTGAGCAGCGACGATTCCAGCAGCCCCGCCTCCCGCGACGATGTAGTCGTATGTGGCGTTGGCAACAGTGGCAGTCTGGTTACCGGGGACTACTGGCGTTGTCGAGTTGCTTCCGGAGCCGGGAGTGGTCGAGTTGCCGCCGGATGGGGTACCTGCAACGGCGAGTGCAGCCCATTTCTCAAAGTTTGCATTCTTGGCCTTGGATGCGGACAGGCCAAAGGCACCGAAGCCAGCATCGTGGTAGGAGAGCACGGCAGAAGGTGTAGTCGGGTCAGTCATTGCCTTGTTCGAGTAAGCCCATCCCATGACATTGGTCCCGTCGGCGAGGACAAGGCCTGACAACGGGTCGGAACTGATGCAGTTGGAGCACAGGAATGTGTATGAAAAGGCGGTGTCATTGACGTAGGTACCATCCGGAATCGCCTTGATGGTCATGTTGCCAGTCTTGGCGGCCGGGTTGGTGTAGCCGGTAGCTTCACGGATCGAGGAAATGATCTTGCCATCGTTGGGCCATGCAACGACGAGCGGGTTGCCCACCATGGACTGACCCATGCTCAAACCAGCCCATCCCTTTCCGTTGGTGACGGGCGCTTGGATTTGAGCAATGAAGTCTTTGGCAGAGCCCTCTGGCAGGGCATAACCAAGCCTGTAGCCCGAGGGGTCGTGAAAACCCAGGAACTCGATACCAGTCTTATCATCCGTGTAGGGCGTAGCTTGTGCCAGTGCGCGGAGCGCAAAAAGGGTAGAGGAAAGGAGAAGTGAACGAGCCATTGCTGCAGTTGTGTGTGGTTGAAAGGACTGTGTGGGTGTGGCACTGCCAACAAAAAGGAACGTGTAAAACCGTCAAGGCTATGGAAGAGAGTGAGTGGAAAGCAACGTTCCAAGAACGAGCAAGGAAAACGAAAGAACGGTGTAGTGACAGAAAAGTCGTACCGAGTTGGCACTGCAGCGTCTGTCTGTATGTATCTTGTATCCAGGGCGGGCCAAGAAATCCTCAATATGCCATGGTCAAGCAAAAAGGCCACTTCCGACGGTGGACCCACTAAACAAGCTCAAAATACAGCCCTGCAGCGTTGTGAAACCGGGCGTCTGGGCTGGGCGGTCCAGGAATGCGGTTCCTGGGCAGTACTACACATGTCCCAATACGTACTCGTGTCTCCACTGTTGCGGGAGGCTGATTGCGCAAGGCATTAACGAAGATTAGCCGACGAGCTGTTCAGCAGCGGGTCGAAGCTGATTGGCTGCTTGTTATGTTTCAACGTCCGTCGGCATTTTCTGACGTGGTGCGGGTGGATCTTAGCCGTTTCGAAACGAACCGCCGAGACAGAGGCCGCCGTCCTTGAGAGATTGCCTGTGGGCCTCGTCCTTCTCCGAAGACCATATCCCATTGATTGCCTCGACGCGAGGGGCCTCATCCGTAGCTTGGCACGCGGTTGGAAGTGTCAGGTGTGTCGCAATGCTTGCAGTCTAATTAATATACAAATGCGATACTGCCATGTTGGGATGATTGCAGTACCACATGGCGGCCAGGCCGAAGGAGATGGTAGACGAGCATACAGCATCTGCTTGATGTTTTTTAGAGTCAGTAGTTCCTGAACGGTTCGGGAATTTTCTTTGGAGCGGAAATGAACAGCGGCCGCCAGTCAGAATGAGTCGGGATGGTGGCTAGTGCTCACTTGCCCATTGCGCGGCCGCCAGTCAGCCAAGCTTTATTCCTTCGTCTGCTTGATATGAATGGCGGCTGGCGGAGCTGACGGCGGATGCTGCAAGTACATACGCAACTTTAACTTTCACGGAAGCTTAGAAATAGGGGGTAAGGTTTCTCGCCGCTAGTGAAAAGTTCTAGCCTTACTAACTACTTATTATTAGTAAAGTAGCCCTGCTAATAAGCCTTATTTTATTATATAGCGCTAAGCTATACTTATTTATAAGCTTACTATAGTTTTGTACTCTGATATAGCTACTTATAGTAAACTGTACTGGTGATTATATGATAAGCATAATTAGCGCATAAGGGGTGAAGTTTCTTTCTATAACTCTAGTTAGTATTTATGTACCTAGCAGGTAATAGGAGCCTGTTCAAGTTTGTTAATTAATGATTAGAAGTTATACCCCTTGTCCTTCGCGAAAAACTTGAAAATTATAAAAGCTGTGTCACTCATACTATATATAGAGTGAAAGTTTTATATATATTATATTATCCTATAACGTGGTTCACAAGTGAGTCGCTAACCCAAGCAAGTCGCTAACGCCTGACTAGCCTATTAACTCCATCACTATAACGCGTGATGTCTTAACAACGCAACTATCTATTAATATATTCTAAATCTAATCTTTAACTTGCTCTTTTTAACGTCTAGTTGCAACGTGTTTAAAGTGTAAACTATGCTACTACTATCTATAATATCCTATAAAGAACTCTATCTAATTGTAAGGGGCTGCGCTCCGGGGAGCAATCGCGAGGTATACAAGAGGTTGTATTCGATAGAGAGCTATAGAGTCTACTTGCGTGGTGTTTATTTACTTGTCGGAGAAAGGTTGCACCGAGTGTCTGAGCGCGTCGTCTGGGCGCCGCTCAGGCCTCGCACAGATGCCGGGTTGCAGAGTAAGACCTGGCGTCTGCTGCTTGACCGAGATTCCATCGAGGAGCTATCTAAAGGGCGTTCAGCCCGTTACAATACCCCCCTCCTTAGGGTGGTACTGTGTCGCCTCTTCGAAACCCCTCTGGGAGGCGGCCCTCGCTGTCTCGTTTGGCCTCCGTGAATGCTTCCCATCGGTCCACTGCCTCAACGTCCTCTAGTAGTTCTGCTGGTTCGAGCGTCGTTCGGTGGAAACCTTTCCACTTCACCTCGTAGTATAGCTTATGCCCTCTCCCACGACGGCGTACCTCCTCTGCTACAATTTCTTCTACTTCCCATTCATCTTCTCCATCTACCTGCAGCGGCTGTGGCTGATAGTCGTCCTGAACCTGGT